CTTTAGGAAGGGCTTCGTTCCTCAAGATCACTGTTTGATCTTGGCCCATTTAGTTGAAAAATACACCTCCCCACCTAGAGGTAAACTGTATGTTGCATTCATAGATCTCAAGAGAGCTTTTGACACCATACCCAGTAGTAGATTGTGGGGGAAACTGGAATGTACCTCAATTGATAAAATATTGCTCTGGCTAATAAAAAATCTCTGCGCCTCTTGTGTGGCTCAAGTTCGCTGTGGAGAAAATGGAGAACTCATGGAGTGCTTCTGTCTTGATAGAGGAGTGAAACAAGGTTGTCTCTAAGCACCATTACTTTAAAATATATATATCAGTGATCTTACAGTTATTCTTTCTTCAGCAGAATCCCATCCTTTGTACTTATCTTCAAAGGCACTAATTCTACTCCTTTATGTGGGTGAGGCTATTCTTATGTCCCACACTCAGGTTGGACTGAGAAGACAAGTCATTTTTCAAAATATTGCAAATCCAAAGAATTTCAGATCAGTTATTCAAAGTCAAAGGTTATGGTCTTTTCTAAAACCAAGAAAATTATCTCTTTGGTCTGGACAATTGACAGTGCTCAATTAGAACAAGTTTCCAAATTTCCATACCTGGGTGTGGTTTTTAATTCTAATCTTAATTGGCAATCCCATTTTAAATTTTTACCAAACAAACTTAAACCTTCTGTGGCAGTGATCGAATGCTTCTTTTTCTCTAATGGAGGTAAATATATTCCAGAGAGGTTGCATGTGTTCAATTTGAAAATTATTCCACAGGTCCTTTATGGAGCCTCAATATGGATTCTCTGATTCAGTGTGGATTTAGACCCTTTTCTTTGCCATCTTCTGCAACGTGTCGCAGGAACTCCAGGATGTGTAGCAGGCATAGCTTTAAAGTTAGAATTGGGCTAGGGCTCTGTCAAAGCCAAAGCATGACTACATGCATTTAAACATAAGCTAAAAGTCATTTTCTCCTCAAAGAAGAATGGGCTGCTTTATGAGCTTAATCAAGACCAGTTCTATTCCCACTTCTGGGCATAGAATAGTGGTCACTATGGGTGTGTGGGGGGTAGGTATTTGTGAATTTCCTGCATTGTGCAGGGGGCTGGACTAGATTACCCCAGAGGTCCCATCCAGTTCTATGATTCTATGGATGTAAGAAATAGAGAAGAAACTATTTAGTCTTGGCCTAGCAAAGGATGATATACTGAGACTTAGGGAAAGCGAATCTCTACTAACTATTAAGAAATGTATAAAAGACCTAGATCACTTTCGTTCAGTTATACAAGCTTGAAGAGTATTCTCCACCCAGTTTTTTTTACATCTTTCCATCTCCAACCATCCCAGCCTATGTAAAAATTTTAACAGTTCCTTGCTACTGTAGAGCATTTATGCTCACACTTTTGAATGCTGCCCCTTCAACTGTCCTATATGGGAGATATTGTAATCTGCCTTATTCGGACAAGCTTTGTTGATATGGCCTGAAAAGGGTTGACTCCATGTCCCATATGATACTGGAATGCCTTTATTATAATTTCTATTGTGAGCGATGGATTGCTCCTATTTTAACAAAATTATCTTCCACCATATCAAAAGACAATATAGTCCCTTATCTGATAGTGGATAGAGATCCAAGGACTATGCTGATTGTGACCAAGTCTCTCTCCACCATATTTTCATTAGAGAAATAAATGCTCCTTTTTTAATTGCTCCGGATCATTGGATCAAAGGAGCTTGAAAGAAAGGAAAGGAAAGAATTCTGATACTGAATTTAATGCCTCAATAATGACACACTCTACTGGATGTAAATTTGCTGCATAAGTCTTGTGTCCCACTTCTTCTTAAGGCACATACCTGCAGATGACAGTTTTATCAGCACTTCATCTAGACCTTGCAAGTGCTCTGCCTCAGTTTCTCCTGTAATCGACATCAAGATATACAGACATGTGACATTCCTTGGACTAGATTGTCCATGGCTCTTTGAAAAATCCCAGGAGCCACTGCAGCCCTAAAAGAGAGCCTGTTATAACAGAAGCATTTCTTAGAAGTATTTATTGTTACAAAGGATTCTGAAGTATTAACAAGGAAAATGTGCAGGTATGCATCACTTGACTCTGTTTTTGTTATGACTTTCCTAGCTAGGAGAACATATAGGTCCTCAGTCCTGAAGATTTGATATGTAAATAGTTTGAGTACACAGTTCACTGTGACTTTGTAGTCTCCACACTTACACTACTACCTGACTTGGCACTGGGCTTTTCAGGTGCTACCAGACTTCTAAGTAAGCCATTGATCTTTGCTTCACAAACAACTTAGTAAAATTGCACATTTTTATCTACATAATTAATATCATTAGCAAACTGAGTTTGCCTCTCTGCATACTGGACCTGGTCCCCCTGACCAGCTTCAAACTCCTTCAGAATTCCATAGACAGCTGTTTTGCACTTCTACTTCTGCGGTATAAAGAAACAGGCAAGGCTGATACAGCCTAGAGTTGCCAAGTCGCGGCGGGGGATCGTAGGTCTTCACAGAATCCTTGCCGCAGGGACAGCAAGATGCGTTGCACCCACCGTCCCCAGGATCTGACGCTACGGGCAACGGGGCTCCAAACAGCCCCATTGCCAGAGCGACGCATAGTGTCATGTCCTGGCGACGGCGATGCAACGCTTCTCTCTGTCCCCGCAGCAAGGATTCTGTGAAGACATGCAGATCCCCCGCCGTGATTTGGCAAGATTTGGCAGGCCTAATGCAGCCAGTTTATCCTCATCACTAGTCCACATCAGCAGGTGAATGCTACACATCTGCTTTATTTGAACAGCAGCATTCAAAGCCTCAGCCATGGACCACCTTAGACTCAGGCCTCAGCTAACCCTGCCTTCCTCAGGGACATGGCTGGTGAGACTGCTCAGTAAAAAGTATCTGCCACTCAGCCACTAGGTGGCAACTAACAGGAACTGTATTACAGGTGGAATATGTTACAACTGGAATAAGACTGTAGTCCATGGAGTCCATCCTTCAAGTCCTCAGCCTTCCCAACAAGCACTGCCACTTCTGAAAATGGCTGATTGGCTTTGATTCAACTGTGTAGAAGCTAGAGCATGCAAGATGAGAAATTACATTTGTGCAACAATTAACAAGGACATTTAGAAATTATAAACTATGCTAGTGCTTCCTAATCTTTTAGGCTGTTTTCACATGAAGCTTATTTGTCATTTAGGGTTGCCAGATTGAGCAATAAGAAGGTTGAGCCTAGCAACCAGTGTGAGGGGTGGGGATGGGTACCTTAGGGACGTATGATATCACTGAGTCACCACATCACTTCCAGGGGAAACCCAGAAGTGACATAGAGTAGCTCTAATAATCCTAGACCTATCCTACATTACTTCTGTGTTTTCCCTGGAAGTGATGTGGCAACAATGGTAACACTGCTGCTGGTTTTTAAAAAATTCTCACCACTACTCCAAGTGGCAGCAGGCAAAGAGACATGCCACTGGGAGACTCCCCCTCCCATAGTAGACCTATTGCAGTCCCATGAGTGGGCATCCCTTATCTCTCTGTCTCCATAGTGTGAATAAAGATATTTTATAAATTTGTTTAATGATATTAAGTTATACTTACTAATATTAAGGTATTGTCTATCAACAAATAAACAAATGAGAACTGCTGAGAGCTATGGATTTTTTCTTCTTTTTATTGAGTGCTATTGAACTTTTCCAGTTATACATTGTTTAAGGTGATGGGCCTTCATCTTATTTATTCCATAAATATTCTGTTTTATCCAGCTTTTGCACAAATATGTATGCTGCAATCAGGTAAAAACAGGATAAAGGGGCTTCCTACAGAGAATGCATTATCTCTCCTTAGATCAGAGATGTACACTTCTTCATACTTATTTGCAGACCCTTCCTATCAGGCAGAATGAATGCTCAAGAATACTTAGCTTTTTGTTTATTTAACTCTTCTTTTCCTAATTCCTCTGAGACCAGAAAGCATATGAAATAATAATGAAAGTCACAAAAAGAAAGTATTAAACATTCAGAACTCTCATAAAGATTTGATTCTTTAACCTTGGTAAAAGAGCAAAGCTCCAAAGAAAAGGTGTTAGATAAAAATACAGTACCCTTTAATCTTTGATTCCCTTATCCCCTAAAATAATGTCATATTTAAAAAAGTACAGATTCTCCTAAATGGATTCTTAGGGGTTTTTTTAAAAAAATGCTGTCCTTTAGGAAGATTTTAAAAAGCAGTTGTATCCCATTCATTGTTATTAATCTAAAAACATTATTTAAAAAATATTGATTGCTTACTCTGTCAGAGACTTGGTGTACCTTTCTACCAAATCTTTCTCTAGAGATGAATTACCTCTATGAGAATTCTTCCCATTACTAGACAAAGGGGTTTGAAAACCCAATATAATATATTTTGTCAAACCAGACAGATCATATCTGCTGTTGTGATTGCTATATGTCCAGTTAGGCTTCAAGTGCTCTAGAAATGGCTGCACTGCTGTTTACACTCCTCCTGTTTTTAGCATCCTGGAACTCACTTTAGGAAATATTTGGAGGCCACTCTCTTAGCAAGAGTTTTGGTGCAATTGACATCTGAAGAGGCCAAATAAGAGAATACTAACTCTTGTTCAGCCATTCTAGTGATGCCCCTGTCCAGAGGTTTTTTTTAAAAAAATCTGTTTATCTGACAGTTCATTATTTAAGCCTAGCCTGTCCAAAGAGGATAAATATTATTTGGGAACTATGGCTATATCTTTGATGCAACAGAAGTATGCAAAATATAGGAAAGATTGGCTTGATAAGTGAAGCATGATACATTTCTATCACCCCCCCCCCCCAAAAAAAAATGTTCCATTTGGGTTTCTGACCATTGATAAGCTTTGAAATCTCATTGCAATAAATTTCTGGAATAGGCACATGGAAACACCAGCAAAGCAGTGAAAATGATTGCTGATGATCCATTCTAACCATTTGACCTTCTGACCTCTTCTACAGATATATGACCAAGATGGGACACTACAGCACTTTATCGATGGTGGGGAACCTAGTAAGTCAAGCTGGATGAGGTATATTCGATGTGCAAGGCACTGTGGGGAACAGAACTTAACAGTAGTCCAGTACAGGTAAAGTATGTTTCAATTTATTTTTAAATGTCTCTATTTACTGTAATAAAAGTGTTTTGAAGAAATGTGTATCATAAATCTCTTCAACTGCTTGTACATGAGTACAAAGACACTAGTAAGGATTTTGTAAATGGCTTATTTTATTGTAGCAGCTGACATCTATAATATGTAAACGCCAAGCTGTGACAACTCACCTACTGTCCCACAGGCCACTGGGGAAGCTGCCTTGGTGTCCTGTTGGCCGGTGCCACCAGTTCCTCCATTCTTATACCCTTACTTTTGACACATTGCACCTTGGGAGTTGTAGTTCTCAGATGACCTTACTGCAATCATAGCAAAGGGAATTAGAACTACAACTGCCAAGTTGGGAGTTCCAAGAGGCTGTGGGGCATTAGCAGGAAGTCAGTTAAACTGATCTCCAGACTACAGAGATCAGTCCCCATAGAGAAATGGTTGCTTTGGAGGGTGAGCTCTATGGTGTTATACTTCACTGAAGTCCTTCAACAAACCTGGCCCTCCCCTTAGTTTTGCCAACCTCCATGCGGCACCTGGAGATCTCCAAGATCAGTTCTCCTGGAGAAAATGTCTGCTTTGAGCAGCAAACTCTATGGCATTCTACCTGCTGAGGTCCCTTCCCACCTCAAACCCTGCCCTCTCCATGCTTTACCCCTCAAATCTACAGGTATTTCCCAACCCAGAGTTGGCAACCCTGTAACTGGCTACAGAACTACTTTCCAGACCCTTGAAACCCAGAAAACATGGCATAGGAGGAGGTCTTTTTCTACCTTAGCTGCCACTGCAGAGCCCCAAACCAACAGAAGTCTGGGGTGGAGGGAACCATACCCGTTACCACGTGGCTTTCCTTTGATACTACCCACTCGGGGTAGCAAAATGACAGCCCTGTCTTATAGCTAAGCAGAAGGAAATAAACATGTCTCACCTCCTTCTATTTTCCTCCTCCCTCCACTGCCCCATCAGCCCAGCTAGGACACTCACTTGGAGCCTCTTCCTAGAGCTTGTTGTATTTCATACCACAGCAGGCCTTACTCCTAGTTTAAGATATAAAGAAGGTTAGAAATTGTGAATTCAAGACAGAGGGCTGCAAATATATCTTTCCTGCATAGACAATGGCGGCTACAGGAAAAAATGTCACAAAACTGAAATTCTACCGAAGAATATTTTAAAGCAGTAGTGCCCTGAAACACACACAAACAATAAAATTCTCTGTACATACACATACACACACACACACACAGAGAGAGAGAGAGAGAGAGAGAGAGAGAGAGAGAGAGAGAGAGAGAGAGAGAGCAGGGGTATATTGTGGATCCAGGACTATGCAGCCCTTTGTATCCTCAAGAGCTCCATCTGTAGGAACCTTAGCAACAGCAAGCGATACAGAATGGGGAGGCTCCACCTTGAGACAAACCCTTTATTGCATGAGAAGAAATGCCTTTTACATGTGCAGAGGTTTCTTTGGATTCAGCCCTCATAGTTTTCATTATTATGAACTGGACATGCAATACAGGGTTGGAACTTATCTCCTCCAGATTTCATATTCAGAAACTGTGAGAAACTATTCACCAACTGCCAACTCTCTCACATTTTTTTCCTGCTTGTATTTTAAAGTACAGATAGAGAAGTCACTAGAAAATTGTGAAAATGTGTTAAAATGTGTGAGTTGTGAGATAAATGTATGCTTGAGACAGATGCTCAAGACAAATCTATGATTATGCTTTCCTAACCTCGTCTCAGACCAATCCCAAATGCCTTAAGTCATTTTACAGGTTTTTTATTTTCAATAGTTAACACAACTAATGGGAAGTTATGTGGCAAGAAGTAGTCCCTGTGTTTTTAATAAATATATTTTTGGCAAACATGGTTCATTACACCATACGACTGCAAAATTATAAGAAAGTACACCTGACAGATAGATCCCTTCTGTGAAGCTATTAAGTGTATAGGAGTGCGCTTCAAAGCCACATTTTGGCTACCAAATATAGGTAACAAGGACACTGTGTGATCCATAACATATTATTCATTTTATTTACTAAATTTATGTCCTCCCTTTCTGCCCTTACAAGGCAGCTAATAATTTATACATACATAATAAAATACTTTATGAAACCATTACAATAACCCCCATCAACGTATCTCATTAAAACAACTTTTAAAAGAATTATAAAATAGAGTTAATATACATATATAGAGAGTTAATATACATATAGAGTTCAGATTTTTAAAGGGAAACACTTATTAATCATCAGCACTCAAGGGGCACAGTTATAAGGCAGTTCATTTAAAAGAAAGATGAGTTAATATACATATAAAACAGTTAAAATACATACAAAACATAAAACATTGGTTAGGAAGGAAGGATCGCTGACAGAATGCCAAATGAAACAAAAAAAGTCTTCACCCAGTGGCTAAAGATGTCAACAGAAGACAGCAACTTAGTACACATTATCCATCTTTTAAATGTTTGTGGCACTTCAACTTGAAAATACTGGAGCATTTGTCTTACCCACAATGACTGATAGGATAATGACAGTGGAAGTGTTGTTCAAATACAGACTGAATTATTTTGTGGGAAAATCAAATAACATCAGAGGTACTTCTGGTAACAGATATCTACAAAGATGACCATGGCTAGTTCAAAGAACTGAAACAAAATAAGGTACATGAAATATTTTGAACACTTAAAAGCATTATACAAATGCTAATAATCATTGTCATCATTATAGCTGGAAGATTTAAGGTTGAATATAGATATATTTTGAGGTGAAGAACTCATCTTTCTTTTAAATGAACTGCCTTATAACTGTGCCCCTTGAGTGCTGATGATTAATAAGTGTTTCCCTTTAAAAATCTGAAGCAACTGTCTGACACAACTGGATGTTATAGCGGGATCATGAAAAGAAGGTCAGTTCAGCAACTGCTGCAGTTTTAAAATAGAAAACTTTTTAGAACATAGCTTTAATTTTGTTTATATCTGTAAGTAGTTTTCATGAATGAAAAAGAGGACAAAACATATTGTAGTCGTTCATTATCTACCTTGTTTCATCAAAATGCAATGGTCCAGTTATAATTCCAAGGATATGCTTTAAAATATAGCCATTTCTATTCTTAACCTTGTATTTTAAAAAGTCAACTTCAGTTATGATTGATGGCAGCAAAATACTCCATTTGAAAACAGAGTCATAAACGGAGCCTCATGTCATGAAGTGTGTTTAGTTAATAGTCTAGGTATTTTTGAGACAATCACCCTTGCATCTATATACAATGTACCCAGAGTGCATACAGAGTACTCTGTGTAAGCTCCTGCATGTGTTAGTAGATCCAGCCAGTATATGAATGGGAGACCTTTGCTTACAAAAAAGGATCCATATGCAAAGCTGCCCCATCTTCTGGTATGACCATATGGCATAGACAAGGAGCTCCTTGTACATAGTGGAACCCTCTGAACCCAGTGAACCACTAGGTCTGGGTGTGCTTGTTTGCATACTTATAGATGAAAATCCACAGCAAAATCTGGCCACGAGAAAGTAATTACACATCTGCCAATATTAAGTGGATTTTACAATTCTGCTTTCATGATGGAGCTGTTACTTACAGTTCCCTCCATTGGTTTGTTTTTGATTACTTCTGATCTTTTAAAAATGAACTACAAAAACACATTAAAAAAAACCCCTGGCATCTATCACTAGGGACTACATCCAAGTGTAAGAAAATAGAAAAGTTGGACACTGAAAAAACCGTCTAATTTTTATTGTACATGGACATCCTCCTCACTAAAAGTCAGCTGGTTTAAATTCATTCTGTTATGATTTGTAATATCTAAATGGAATTTTCTTCAAAGAGCCCTTGATTGATTGACCCTTAGTTGAACGTTTTGTTTTTATTTTGAAGCTGACAATAATGTTTGTTGGCATGTGTTCTGCTTCAACTGCGTTGGGACGCCACGAAGCTATCTTTATGAGTCATCCAACCACAATACTAAATACATGTCAGCAAAGGAAATATTATCCGAAAGAGGAAAAATCCCTTTGATGTACTTCAGCATGCAGAGATTTCTGCAAGTTTTGGAAGCTCTGAACGCTTGTAAGGAATGGTGTATGCTTACACTTTTTTTTCTTTTTTGGCCTACTCCAAGCCTCTGAGACCACCCATTGCTCAAAAACAGTTCAGTTCTTTCAGCGGCAAAGTGTGTCATTGGGTTTTAGCACATTCATTTGCTGGGCTGCTGTGTTTATGTTAGGGGAAGCCAAACAGAGAGATGAAAAGTTACAAGGGTGAAGTACAAAGTAGACTCAATTTTTTTCAGAGTCAGGAGATGCGGGTGATTTATAGTACTGCCCTGATTTTGATTTTTATGTAATGGTGGAAAGAATTAATAAAATGTACAGCATGGGTGGAAATAGATGGTGGGGTGGAGAAAGAGGGCAGGAAAGAGACGAAGGCAGGAGTTTTTGTCAGATATTCATAGAATGTTAGGAAAAAGCATTCTGCTTAGCCAGCAGTGCCCTCCTGAGACAGGGTGGCAGTAAGCGAGGAAAATAACAAGATAAATGAAATTTTTGCAGCTGCTTGTAAAATATTGAGAATCTGCACTTTTTTATTGATCTTTATGATCCTGTTGCCAAGAGCCACTTTGCGGTGACAAAATATGTTGACAAGTGCATATCTCACTGCCATGAAAAATGTGGTTCCGGATTCTCCTTATGTCGGCAGTGTTATACAAGAAACAAATTGCACCTCTACAGCCAATTCTTTACAGAGAAGCTGAATTTAAGGCCTACCAACCCAGCACACTTTTATCTCTAACTTCAGGCTAATATTTGTAGCAATTCTTCACTGCAGAAACCAGTTGAGATTCAACTTCTTTTTTTAAAAAAAAACAACAACAACCATATATGTCTCTGCACCTTGCACAAGACATTAAAAAAGGTCATTTCTTACTACTGTGACTGTATCGTTTTAGCTGGTGATATTTCAGCCCAAATGGAATGTTCATTTTGTGTTTATTGAATTGCTATTTATCTCATATAAGCATGTTTTACTTTACTGTATCAGGCTTAAGCGTCAAGCCACTACACAATGATAACTTTTTTTAGTCCAGCTCCTAAATGCCTGACTCTGATCTCACATTAGTTTTCCCTGTGCTTGAAACTTCAGATTATTGTTTCTGATTTATATGCTTCTATCTGGAAAAAACACAGAATTTCATCAAAATGATATGTCAGAACAATGGACAAATAGGTGGATAGGTAACAAATGCCTAGATAATTAATACTTACTATGACCCCCTTTACTGTGAAACGTGGGGAATAATTTTGAAATGTTGGAATATAATGGCACACATAAGTCTTTTTTGTTGGTCTTGGCATTGTACATGGCAGCTTTTATTATTTCTGTTAATATTTTCCAAGCTGATCGTGTATCGAAATAAATAGACTAAACTGACAACTTACTACAACCTTCATACAGCTATCCCTGGATCCTGTGTTACAACCCTTAGTTATCAGTGGTTTGGCTCAGACATGTAAAACCATGGTTTAATTTAACTAACTATAGTCAGGGATGAAAGTAGCTCAGAATGAAACAGTACTGAGTACCTGTAAGAAAGCGACCAAAGTGGAATCTCCCATGTTCTGCTTCAAGACCTCCAAGAGAGAAAGTATCAGGGACAAACAAAATATAGCATTAAGTGATTATCAGAGAGCTGAATCCTATTTCACGTAACATATAGTTAAAGTTTTGCATTATTGCTGAAAAATAAAATAGTCCATTAAACTGACCAACATGTCTACCCTCCTAAATGTTCCAGTGTCTGTTTAGGATCTGGGAAATCACGGTTCAAATCCCCACTGTGCAATGGGAGTTTTCCCTATACCACTGATTTTAATTTAGAAGAAGAAAAAGAAGAAGAGATTGGATTTATACCCCGCCTTTCACTTGGAGTCTCTGAGCGGCTTACAAACTCCTTTCCCTTCCCCTCCCCACAACAGACACCCTGTGAAGTGGGTGGGGCTGAGAGAACTCTGACACAAACTGCTCTTTTTCAAGGACAGCTGTGCCAGAGCTTGTGACTGACCCAAGGTCACATCAGCAGGTGCAAGTGGAGGAGTGGGGAATCAAACCCGGTTCTCCCAGATTAGAGTCCACACACTTAACCACTACACCAAACTGGCTTTTTTAGTATTTTTTAGTATTGCACTCACTTTCTGAAAATGGTTTTTATTTATTAAAATGGATGTACTTGTTTGACCTTTCAGTTAATAATGATATGCAAGGTAGCACAGATAACATGTAGTAATTGTTGTCTCTTGCTGGAATTGCAGCAGTTGTTTCTTTAGTAGTTGCAGAACATTGCCTAGCAAATGCTTTCACTATTCTAGTCATCTGAGAAAGTGCATTGATTTTTTTCAATGCTGAGAGCAAGCAAGGAAGTCCTCAGTCTTATGTGCTTCCTTTTCACTCCCCCACTTCTCAGACATGGCTGGAAAATCAGATACTGGTTTGGTTGCAGTCAGTCTGGAGAAGCTAGGCTCCAAATAGGGGCATATATGTGTTTTATTTACACACTTAACAGTGCAGTCCTAAAACTGCTTTCCTGGTAAGCCCCTCTGAGTAGACTTTAGATGGATTCTGATCAGATTTGATTATGTTTACACTGTAGAGCGCTCAGATCTTGTAGATTTTCCTTTGTCAATAAATGTTGTAATGTTAAATATTGAAGTGTCTATTGTATAGACCTCACATCAAAATAGTAACTATTTTCCAAGTGACAATTAAATGCAAGTAAGTTTTAATTCTATACATAAAAGAAAATCTCAATAAATTCAGTGGGACTTTTTTCAGAGCAAACATAGATGGATTTGGGGTGCCAATAATGCAATATATTAACTAGATTCATTAGAATTATGTGTTGTTCAGTGGAAGTCACCTAAAGTTTTGGAGAGTATAAAGGGCATGTTGCCAAATTAGTGGTCACCTTAAAACTCCAAAAATTATGCTCAAAATGTTAGCAGAAAATGGAATGTTTTATCTAAAAACAAATTCTGTTTAGCTTTGAAATATACATTACCACTGAAACTAAATTAGCCCTTTATTGGTCTGTCAATTTCCTGTACATCAGACAACTGTCACCTCACAAGTTTGTTAAAGCATATTAACATTAAGGCAAATCCCAGTTGACTCATTGCCCAAGTGTATAAACATTTTATAGAAACCTGGAATACTTTTTAGTTCTGCAAGTTTTGTCAATAAATATGTTTTAAAAGAATAGTAATTCCACAATAGTGATTTGATATCTCTGAATGTTTTCAGGATTTAAAATACCATCACTTTGAAACAGAAAGTGTTTTGTTTTTCTACTTCATGAGCATTTATTTATATATTTACTGTGATTGTGAATCACTGCTCAACTAAAAAAAATGGCTGAGGCAATATATAATAAAATGAAGGAAAAACCATCCCTGAAAGTGCATATGCCATTCTAGGTTCGAAAATGTCAGTTGCAGGAGCTTCCTTTCCTGTTTCTCACAGTCTAATTGTCTAGAACGTTCTTTTTCAGCTGCTCTCTTCAATCAGCTAATTTAAGGCAAACCAAGATGGTTCTTAAGCAGGCCTGTGATGGCAGCTGGGCATGGGAAGGAATGTTTCCACTAGAACTGAGTAGAAGATTGTCACCAGGCCTTCAGTCTTCTCTGTCTTGTGCTTTTGAAATAGATATTCCGTAAGATGTATCTCCCAAGTATTCATTCTTTCTCTGTTTGCTATGACCAGGTCAAATATATTCTACAGAGCCTGTATGGATATTCCCAGGGGTACAGAGTTGTTGGTGTGGTACAATGACAGCTACACATCTTTCTTTGGAATTCCTTTGCAGTGCATTGCCCAGGATGAGAACTGTAAGTGTCATATTTCATGTCCACCACTACCTACCCTAATTCATGTTTCACACTGGAGTCAAGAACGAAATTACCTACACTATCTATGTGCTTGGGCTGGCCCTGGAGTCTGCATGATTTCATTTTCAGCAAGTAGAGTGAGGGGTTAAGCTTGGCTTACCATGTATTGGTGTCAGCAGTGCGGGTTTCATCCAAAAGTGTAAATGAAACTGGTGATTGTCCTGAGGCAACCAAGGATAAACTGAGGTTTATTCAGACTCCAAATTTGGTGAGAGGAAATTTGGGAGGGCTGATTAAATAATTGAATCCTAGTGGTGTCTGGCAAAATGGAAGTATAAGGATGGTCCATCTTGGCATACAATTTCTATGTACTGGCCATGAGAAATAAGGTACAACTACACAGTATACTGGTAGCCTGATGGGCTATTCACAGTTAGGATAACCCACACTGAAGAGAGAATGTGAACTTGAATGTGCTGCTGCAGGTAAGTACAGCTCTGGTTTAACCAATTCACTAAAGGTGCCATCCTAAAAAGAGTTATACCCTTCTAAACTCATTGTCTGCAGTGGGTTTAGAAGAGAATAACTCTGTTTAGGATTATACTGTTAGTCTCATGACCTCATTCCAGAGCACAGGGGCAATAACGAAGCTTTGGCTGTTACACTTCAACAAAGAGCACTGCTTTGGAAAAGGCAAAACTAAAAAAAGATGTCTATACATTGAAATTATATATATATATATTATATAAATTAAAAAGGCTACAGAAAGATTTTATGAGAAAATAAGATGCATTCATATGATCCTTTTTCTCCTGAGAGTTTTGTCTTCTGGAGAATCCACATGGAGCTGAAACTTGGGAAAGACACAAATCACACTAGGGATTTAGAACCATTTTTCAAATTTATTTTGAAACCTGAATTCAGCAGAGAGAGTATGAATCCATGCCTTGGTCTAGGACCAGAATAAAGGCCTGCACACTGTTTATAGCATGTCACAGAAACTTAGCTTATGGTCTACATAGTGTATTTCAGCTAGAATAACCACTGACAATATTCCTTAGCTCTTTCATTTGATTAACTGGGAAAGTTTATTTCATTTTCATTTTAAATAAGAAGAATTGGTGTATAAGACATCAAATACATTCATGCCTCAGCTGGAGCTGTGCATTCAGTCCCAGCTGTTGGATCAGACTTTAACACGCACAATACACCTGGATGGATTGGGGCAAGTGAGTGAAAAATAATCACATAATTGTGTCTCCTGTGAATGTACTGTCAACACACCACAACTATGCTGTTGTGCACACTTATGAGAGAAGGGCACACTGCAGGCAGAGTGGGTTGTCACAAATGTTCTGGCTGAGGAAGTTTATAAAATGAAGTGTGACATGTACATTGATATTATCTAATTGTAATGTTATTATCTAACTGATTTTATGGTTTATGATATAAGTCAATTTCATAAAATCAAACAAAGATCACCAGCAAACAGCTGTAAACCATGACAGCCTCTGCAATGCTTTAAAAATATCTATAATTATTCACCGTTCTCTTATACCTGAGTCATTTCATTGCTGTCAGATGTGAAGCATTTCTCTTTTAATATGATTATATATAAAAGTTTATTTTCATACCCACTTTATGTTTAACAGAGGAGGAAATGATGCAGGGTTAAATTCTTTATCTCTTGAAGTAACTTTTATTTTTACAGTGACTTATATTGATCAAATTGTGATAATAAGTGCATGTACTGAAGACATTGGTTTTGCATGAGACTAACATAAGCTTTTGGTTAGCTTCTGGGCTTCATACACTTAAATGTAGTGAGACATAGGTATTGAAACAACAGTGACTTAAAGTAAAGTCCTTTTATTCCTATATTTATACTTCAATCGTAAGCAGAGTTACACCTAAGCCTACTGACAGAATTTGAAAATCTCTTGCAATACAAGCATTCTCCCCCAGTGCTGCTATATGGTATTGTTTTGTACTTTTCTAAGCCAGGGTTTTAAAAAAAAAACAACACAGTTCAGGCCTCCTTTACAAAGATAACATTGTTTAACAACATGAACTTATGGAGTTAGATAGCATTAATGGCTGTTGACCTATGTGTGAACACACATTCCTTAGGTTTTAAGGATATAAACTATAGCTAATCTTATGCCACAAAACCTAAACACATTTATATGGAAGTAAGCATAATTGATGTCAGTTAAATTTACTTCCTGGTATTTGTGTGTAGACTCACAAGCGCTATTTTATAGGTGCTATTTTATAGAGCATGAGTAAGTGTAACTAGAGAGTCCAGAACCTGCCTTGGGACTGGTACTGGACTTTCAACTTCTATGGGCTACAAAATATAAATTAGAGTGCCAGTTTGGTGTAGTGGTTAGGAGCATGGACTCTAATCTGGGAGAACCAGGTTTGATTCCCCACTCCTCCACATGCAGTCAGTCACAAGATCTTTAAGAGCTGTTCTCTCAAGGGCAGTCCTCGAGAGAGCTGGCTTAGCCCCACCTACCTCACAGGGTGTCTGTTGTGGGGAGAGGAAGGGATTGTAAGCCACTCTGAGACTCCTTTCGGGTAGTGAAGGGTGGGATATAAATCCAATCTCTTCTTCTATCAATTACCTTCCTGCTCCAACTCATCACATCAGTTACAGACTCTCTGGGATGAAGGACTGATTTGCTTATCTCACAGCGGTGACTATCAGTGCAATCTTAAATAGAGTTATACCTTTCTAAGTCTATTAATTTCAATGGCCTTAGAAGGGTATAACTGTGTTCAGGATATCACTGATAGAGAGTCTAGATTTTAGTAAGGAAGAAGATTATTATATTTTATAGGTTGAAATGTTTGTGCACAATTCCTGTTCCTCAAATAAGTGATTAAAATGTATGCCTACTGTCTACAATATAGAGATTTGTAATTATGAATAGTGCAGTTTGACATCTCATATCATATAGTGAACTAGCTAACTTATTTTGGCATTATTTTAGGAAACCATTTTCTAGCTGCTGGTGCTTTTAGTCTGCATCATTAATATTCAGCTCTTATTTTAGTCACTAATTTTTATATTAACCCAAATGAGTTTCATATATCTGATTGCTTTATTATAAAATAAAAAAAGTTTTCTCCTTCTCCTAGTGAATGTACCTTCAACTGTAATGGAAGCCATGTCAAGACAAGATACCCTCCAACCATTTAACAAAAGTAGCAAACTACCTTCTGCCACTCCCCAGCGATCCATAGTGTTTCCACAGACTCCATGTAGCAGAAATTTCTCCCTTCTGGATAAATCAGGGTCTATCGAATCAGGATTTAACCAGATCAGTGTGAAAAACCAGCGAGTCCTTGCAAGTCCGACATCTACAAGCCAATTAAATTCCGAGTTTAGTGACTGGCATCTTTGGAAATGCGGGCAATGCTTTAAGACTTTCACCCAGCGGATCCTCCTGCAGATGCATGTGTGTACACAGAATCCTGACAGGTAATATATGGACATTCTTTATATCTGTATCTACCAACAGTCAGTTCCACTGCTTTCTGCTTTTATCAGGTTGTAATCCTTTTTGCCACTAGACCATTATTAAGAAGACCCAGCACAATGCAATTCATCTGCTGTTATATAAAACACAAATATTGGCTGTAGCCTGGCTTTATTATTTGTAAAAAACCCAAAACATTGGGATACCTTAAATACACAGATAAGAGAAAATGGTTAAGAATATAATCTTGGTTTGGTGCATCTGTTAGGGAGGGAACAAAATAGAAGGAAAATGTATGGATATCACAGATGGAAAAAGGGGTCAAGATAATTAGAAGTCATTCTATCTTAGAAAGATAATATAACTTGCTGCTCAGCAGCTGTCATAGTCATTTCAGGGTTCACCTATAGTGTGCAATGTGTATGAACTTAATTAAGTACTAAGAGGTAATGAATTGGAATTTTTTGCTTAGTACTATTTTTCTTCAGAGCATGCAAAGCCATAAATCGTGCAAAGCTGTCAAAAGGAAATACCTACTCCACTAGTGATGTGGAGGAAAACAGATGCCACTTATTCAATAAACTAATATCCACACAGAAGAAAAATGTTGACTAGATACCTCAGAGTCAAAGTTGGTTTGAAAGTTTGTCAATACAGAATTTTATGGCCATGAACTGAGGATGAAATTTAGCTGAACAAGTGAATTAGAATTTCAGGTACTCTGACCAGTGCCCCAGTAGAGATAATGGAACTATTATTTATTAATCAAATCTAGTTTATTTGACAATCTTGATCGCTAGCAGCACAAAGGACAAAAATCAGATTAATTCAATAAAAAGACTGCTCCTGTTTTTGTCTTTCCTTTAGCAGCAAAAAGATGCATTAATAACACAACTGACTTTCCTGGAATAATCATTCTGGGCACAATCCACCAAGTATTACTGCTGCACACAGCCTCACTGGTGAAAATGGATTCTGGAGAGATATCAGTGAGTTCCATCAACAGTTTATGTTTTTCACTGAGTCCAGAGTACTGTTTTCACAGGGCTCTGAAATTATAGCAAAATTGTAAATTCACTTTCAGCACAGTGCAGCCTCAATTCATTTCTGTGATTGTTCCATGAAGGGTTCTGTATGTGATCAGCTTAAATGAAGATGGTTATACAGAAGAGGTGGTTCTTTGGTTGTAATGTCTAAACGTATCACCCTGGATTCCCAAAGTTAACAAATTTTTACCAAAACATTTTCAAGATAAATGGTGATTGTGGCTTTATACTGTTTATAACTAGAAATAGGGTGAGGGGCATATGCATGCATGGTGTAGTGGTTAAGAGCAGCAACTCTAATATGGAGAACCAGGTTTGATTCCCCAGTCCTCCACATGAAGCCTGCTGGGTGACCTTGGGCCACTCACAGTTTTCTCAGAACTCAGCCCCACCTACCTCACAAGGTGTCTGTTGTGAGGAGAGGAAGGGAAAGTGATTGTAAGCCGCTTTGAGACACCTCAATAGGGTATAAAAACCAGCTCTTCTTCTTCATTCCAAGACACATACAGAGTTCTTGCAGTGCAATGTAAGGCATAGGTCTGTGTACACCACAGGATGAGTGTTAAGAGCAGGTCCTTTGCAGGCAGGAGGGGGGGTGCGGCGGTCCTTTTTTATTGGACCCTCATGCCTGAAAGTATTTAATAGACTAGGGCAATGTGTGAAACCAGTCTTAATGCATGTAAAGTCATAAAACACATAAAAGGAATCCACACCAAAATTTTAATTATAAAATTTTAAGCTGCAAAAATTTCTTACACCTTTCAGATTTCTTTAGGTTTAATATTGGTTCCAGAAATGAGTACTGACCAGATCTATACATAAGTTCTTTTACTGTTTATTTCCTTTGTATCATATTTATGTTTTTAATGCTTCTGGCATTTCCATGCAAATACCTGCAAAAGCATTGTTTCCACTAACTGTAAAATGTAATTTTACAGAGTCCCCAAATATTTGTTTGTATCCAGTGATGTACAAGCAGAAACATGAACTGACTTAGCACAGTTCCACTTGTGCAAGATCTTATGCCCAGCTCTTCCTTCCCAATATGTTATAGTTCTCAGACATTAGTTGCATAACATTTTGTGAAAGCAGAAAAATGGTTCAGGATATGCTATCTTTAACTTAGTACAAGGGACTAGTGTGAGGGGTGTTTTTTTTCTACACTTGCACTTGTACAAGAACCTTAGCATGTATGGAAATCTTCAAGTGGATTTGAGCCATGGAGTGGGATCTTCACCACAAGAGTCCTACTAGTGCTGAAACCAGAGGTCATTTCGGGGGGGGAACGTGGGGATCGCAGTTCCCCCGGGTGAGGTATGGGGGCGGGGCACATGACGAAGCCCCGCCCCCTGCTTCCGGCCACCCCGCTTCCGGCCCTCATTCAGCCAGGAGGAGGCAGGAGAAGAGGGAGGGTAAGTTGCTTCCTCCCTGCCTCTCCCCACCCCTGCCTGCCTGGGGCCAGGGAGGGCCTTCGTGGGGCTTCCTTGCACTTCCGCCGGCCTTGCAGGTCCACCGCCGGGACCCTCATGGGGCTCGGCAGTGGAGCTGCAAGGCCGCCAGCGGTGGCCAGGACCGCTGGGGGCGGGGTGTGTGGCCTTATGACACACTTCCAGTGATGTCAGGGGGTGTGGCCTTATGACACACTTCCGGTGATGTCAGGGTGTGTGGCATATGCTAATGAGTTATGCTAATGAGTTCCCCTAGCTCTTTTTCTACGAAACGACCCCTGGCTGAAACTATCTAGGCAGCAAGACACCAGTAAATGAAAATGTAAGAATGAGAAATCTGGCTCAGTGTTCTGACTGATTTTTAATGGCAAGGATCTGCAGCTTTTTAAAATCTTGCCAACCAAGCCATCCATCTGTCAGACTCCTGGGCACATTACTCTCAACAACACTCTCTTTGGCAGTAATATGTTTATCAAGTTATAAGCAAGGTCCAGGTCATAACAGCACTGTGTCAGATCTGAAGATTTTGGCAGGTACAATAATAGATATAGGTAATTCAAATGTAACCCCTCCTAAGCCCCACTCAAATGTCACATCCACTCCACCTAGCCCCAGTGACTCAACCCTCCCTTTCACCTGGTAAATATACGATCCCATTATCTACAAAAGCTAGCTGGCAAGTTTCAAGGACTTTCCTTTGGGAAGGCTTCTTTGGAAGAATTACGCCTCTAAGATAGTGCAGTCACACACTCCACACTCACTCCCCCCCACCTAAGGAATTCCCCTGTCCCAGCAACCATGGCAAACTGAGCAGGGCAATATTTGACACATCCTTGACATTGAGCTAAATGATCAAAACACTGGGCAAATCCAAGTGCCTTGTGTACAGAATCTTCCCATCATGTTCTTTGAAGTTTTTGCATTCACATAACTGTCTGCCATTAGCTGCAATCTAATATAAATGCCTTAAAGGGCTACGGTGACTCAAGTGGTTAAGACGCTGAACTGCAGTCCAGAAGGTCAGTAGTTCAGCAGTTCAAGACCTGAGTCCCACATAACGGTATGAGCTCCTGTCTCTGGTACCAGCTCCTGCCAACCTAGCAGCTCTAAAGCAAGAAATTGCAAGTAGATAAATAGGTACCACTTCGGTGGGAAGGTAACAGCATTCCATGCGCCTTGGCATCTAGTCATGCCAGCCACATGACCACAGAAACGTCTTTGGACAGCGCTGGCTTTTCATCTTGAAATGGAGATGAGCACCGCATCCCTAGAGTCGGATTCAACTGGCTTTCAAGCAAGGGAAACCTTTACCTTTACCTAATATAAATGCCACTAGCTGATGCTTTGTATATGGGTTGAGACAGGGCCAGTGTCCACATATCCTGAGGCGGGGCATCTGCCAGGGCCCAGGCCTCCTGGCAGGGCCTGCTGCCAGCAGTCCCTGCCATCAAACCTCCTATGCTACTGGCCTGCACTCCCTTCCTACGCCCACTTGCTTGCAAGCATTACAGGGCTCCACCTTCTGTATTCCTAGCTACCTGGGCTGGTGACATTCACAGCAGCAGCACTCCCAACTGCACACACCTCCCACTGCCATTGAGGAAAGGTCATGTAGGTGGTTGTGTGAGGGATCATGAGCAGTCAGGGAAGTATGCACAGGAAGATAGTGGGGTAAATGAATGTGGGGCAGAAAGGGAGGAGTGAAAGGGGGTTAGGAGGAGGGGGACCTGAGAACTTTCTGCTCAGGAACCCTCAAAACCTGGAACCAGCCCTGTGTAGAGGTCTCAAATGAAAGTTCATAGTTCTCACAACAGCAAATATAGTAGTGGACAGAGCAGTGGGCTATCTGAAAAAGCCAAATTGTGTAACTATTAGCAGAAAGCACAACTGTCAATAGCATATTTCACACTGGGTGGTAATAACACCCTGGAAGTTTTGCATTTTTCAGATATTACTTGTGGGCTATAACCTTTTAGGCTAAGAGATGAGGTGGTTTATGTTGGAAAAAGAAGACTCAGATCATATACCTCCCTTCACAATTGATTACTATGACAGGTTGGCATCAAATTAACACTGTCACAATGAAACTAAGATTGGGGAGAAGAGTCTCCTCCCAAGTTAGAGTCAGATGGCCACTTGTTCTACTGGGAAGAAAGAAGTATCTTGACACTGGATTGTTGTTCCAATAAACCAGTATTATGAGAGTATTACTGTGACAGACAGTAAATGGTTAATGCTGTAACTTGGGCTGAGAAACTTGAGTAATAGGGGATTCAAATGGAATTCTTCAGTTGAGAGTGTCAGTTAGGAATTGAGAGAGCAAAGCAGACTACGAGAGGATCAAGAACGATCCTGAGTTAGGGGACAAGTAGCCCATCCCTATCAAGACTGAGGGAAATAGCTTCTAGTGAAGGGAGTTGATCCTATTAAGACTGATGAAAATGGCTCCTATAAGATGGGGGTGATCTCTAGCCAGTGTATAAGAAAGAAAACCGGAAGTTGTTTGAA